GATTAGGGGACCGCCTGTCCCATGGGATACTTTCTGCCCTGCAGCTGAGAACGTGATGGTTCAGGGACAGGAAGAGATGATGATGATGATGATGAAACTGCCATGCTGCAAGGATATGTAATGTAAGTTAGAAATGAAACCTGTTGGTTTCTATGTTGGTGCCGGTGCAGGATGGTTCCCTCCCTACAAGGCTGTGTGGAAGCTGAAGATGGAGATGAGTGACAGTGACTTCACCTGTATATGGTGCCACTGTAGATTTCACTGCGTGTTTTAATGTCCTCAAAAATGCCATTATCCCTGCTAACAGATCTTTAATCATATTAATGTGGATAGTAGCACTTAATATTCTTTCCTCTTTGTGTATGTCAAGAAACCCTCAACAACACTGATAGATTCTATTGCAAAGAACAGCTTTATTTAAATGTGTCACTGAAATAAAATTAAGTCTATCAATACAGGCTGAATGTAATGATTGTAGCTTTCTGCAACTTTAAATGAAATCAACCAGAACTGGCTGGCTGAGGTTTCCAAAAGACTCGTACTCTCTGGATCAGTGTAATTCTGCCATTGTAGTGGCCAGGCAAGTAAGAGTCCCTGCCCTCCAGAGTGTGCTGTGAAGCCAATCACCAAAGTCTCTCCCCTACTGAATTTTTCTAGAGCAGAGCATGCTAGCTCACACCGCCTAAAGGTGTCATAATGTGTGTGTGTTCAGGGGATGTAAACATAAGGTTGCTGAACATGCTGGCTCATGGTGAAGGCTGGTTTTTTTGCTAATAGAATTCTAAAAATATGTGTTCTCCCTTCTTTGCATCGTAGTAATTCCTGTTGGACACTGATGCAAGTCAGGCGCATGCATCAGTGGGAGCCTGCAGTAGGCTTTTCCTGATCACCATTTAATGTGCTTTGTCAGTGTAAGCTGTAAATGAGCATCGTTCTAGTTCTGGAAACCAGTGACGCTGTTAATACAAAAAGAACAGGAGTATGCATATGCATCCGAAGAAGTGGGCTGTAGCCCACGAAAGCTTATGCTGTAATAAATTTGTTAGTCTCTAAGGTGCCACAAGTACTCCTGTTCTTTTTGCGGATACAGACTAACACGGCTGCTACTCTGAAACTGTTAATACAGACCCCAGTATTGCATACAACACAGCTGCATTACCAGGGTGTGCATGGAAATTAGCCAGCAGTGTTTGAAATGGATTTGTAGGTTGCAAACTTGTAGGAAAAATTTAAAACTATAAATTTCCTAGGTACCTGAAGACACACTTTCCCACCACTTTATTTAGCCATCTTATTTTCAAAAAGATTATCACTTGGCTATTAAAATTCCTGAAGGGCTGGAATTTGAAAGACATCATCAAAACAGGATATAGGAGCAAAGTTTTATTTTTCTTGTTTTGTAAACTACAGAAAATCCAGGTTCCCATCTCCTAGAACTTGCAGGGGTCATGAAAGGTCGTTGAGAATATACCCCCTGCAATGCTAGCAGGACCAAGTACTGATTTTGCCCCAGATCA